CAAGGAAGCTTCCGAGAAGAAGGGTGTCCGAGTTGAAGGATTGAACTTCAAGGTATGCCTGCGAAACAATGCTTGGTTCCATAGTTGAAGCTAATTTCAAAAGCGTATTGTCCCTGGGTCTATGATCTTGGGTCAAGTCTCGAGTATTAATGCCCATGACATCGCTCTCTCGCTCCCTAATAATCTTACCGGCTATGTTCCCTTGACATCTGTCTCGAAAGGATTGGAACAGAAGATTGAGAAGCTTCTCAACGAGGACGATAACGAGGACGATTCCGACTCTGACTCCGACTCCGACTCTTTAGATTTGAAGAATTACTTCTACCTGGGACAATACCTGCGGGCTCACGTTGTGTCTGTCGGGAGCAACCCGACGGATCCCAGCTCTCGGAATAAGAAGCGCATTGAGCTTGCAGTCGACCCAAGGCAAGCGAACTCCGGGCTGTCAAAGTCAGATCTCGTCGAGAACACTGCCGTTCAAGCTTCGGTTGTGAGTGTGGAAGACCACGGTCTGGTCATGGATCTGGGTATTGAGGGCTCTGATGTCAAGGGTTTCATGTCCTCTAAAGAGATTGATCGCAAGTTGGAGTACTCGAGCATCAAAGAAGGGGCGGTTTTCTTGTGTATGGTGACTGGCCAGAACGCTAGCGGGAATGTTTTCAAGCTATCTGCTAACCTCCGGAATACGGGGTCTATCACCAAGTCGCATTATCTCAGCACTGCGCCTACGATTAATTCTTTCCTTCCAGGTACTGCAGCTGAAATTCTTGTGATGGATGTCACACCCACCGGGCTGGTGGGCAAGATCATGGGTATGTTGGATGCAACAGTGGATTTGGTCCAGTCTGGAGGAAATTCGCTGAAGGAAGACCTTTCGAAGAAATACCGCACTGGCGCAAAAGTCAAGGGACGTCTTGTCTGTACTTTTCCCGCATCGGAGCCATTTAAGGTTGGATTCTCGCTGCTCGATCATGTCATCAAGTTCTCCTCCGATGACCAAGGACCTGGCTCGTCTGAGGATGCGCCGGCTATCTCGGCAATTGTGCCCGAAGCAACAGTGGTGAAGGTAGACCCCGGCCTTGGTGTCTATGTGAAGATTGGATCTACGAAGCACACGGGATTTATTCACATCTCACGTCTGTCGGACGGCAACACAGAAAGCGTCTCCGCCGACAAAGGACAATTCAAGCTCGGCACCACGCACGAGGCAAGAGTAGTCGGCTATAATGCTCTCGACAACCTCTACCTGCTTTCGTTTGAACGCAAGGTTATTGACCAGCCGTTCCTTCGTCTTGAGGATGTGACTATTGGCGCTGTCGTGAAAGGAAAAGTCGAGAAGCTATTGATTGGCCCTAACGGAATTGATGGATTGATCGTGTCCCTGGCTGATGGTGTCACGGGTCTCGTTCCATCCATGCATCTTGCGGATGCTGCCCTTCAGTTCCCTGAAAAGAAATTCCGTGAGGGTATGACTATCTCGGCTAGGATTCTGTCCGTCAACCTGGAAAAACGCCAGATCCGGTTGACTCTGAAGAAGAGTCTGTTGAACAGTGAGTCTGCCATTTGGAAAGACTACAAGGGTATCGTCCCTGGTGCTCAGTCTCCTGGAACAATCGTGAACATTCAGCCTCACGGTGCTGTTGTTCAATTCTATGGCTCCGTTCGGGCTTTCCTCCCCGTCTCTGAAATGAGTGAAGCCTACATCAAGGACCCTTCTCAGCATTTCCGATTAGGCCAGGTGCTCAGCGTTCATGCTTTAAGCGTCGACGTGTCTCTTGGCAGATTGACAGTATCGTGCAAGGATCCCTCCACATTCACGGAAACTTACAAGAAGGCATTTGAAAACATTCGCCCGGGATTGCTTGTTACAGGTACTGTTTTCGAGAAGTCCAGTGACGATGCCCTTCTCAAGCTTGACGAGTTTGGTCTTGTGGCTCGGTTGGACCTTCAGCATGTCTCTGATGGATCTACCTCAAAGCAGAGCTCGTTGCTTTCGAAGATTCGTGTCGGCCAGAAGCTCAATGAGCTTCTTGTACTAGACATTCAACGGGCCCACCGGTTGATCAGAGTCACAAGCAAGGCTAGTCTGAAGAAGGCTGCCAAGCAAGGCAGTCTCTGCGAGGACTTCGAGGATCTCGAAGAAGGCACTGAAGTCACCGGATTCATTCGGAATATTACCTTCGATGGTATCTTCGTTGAGATGCTGGGTGGCTTGGTTGGATTGGTCCCCAAGCGTCTTGTCAGTGAGGATAATGCTACCAAGCCTGAGTTCGGCATGGCTGTCTCTCAGACCGTTACGGCGACTGTTCACTCTATCGACACCGATTTCCGGAGATTCATTTTGAGCATGCGACCGGATGAGGCGACTAGCGCTGGTCCCAAGAAGCCTACCGCCAAGAAGGCAAAGGAGCCTCGTGCTTCTGATGACAACGTTGCTGTTGCCAACGCCATCGATGAGGGTCTTCAAACTATGTCTGACTTTACATTTGGCCGGATTGTCAAGTGCAAGGTCCAGTCGGTCAAAGCAACGCAGATCAATGTTCAACTCGCGGAAAACATCCAGGGTCGTATTGACGTCTCCGAGGTCTTCGACAAGTGGGAGAACATCAATGACCGCAAGCAGCCATTGCGACACTTCCGCCAGAAGGAAGTCATCTCTGCTCGAATTCTCGGTGTTCACGACGCTCGGAACCACAAGTTCCTCCCCGTCAGCCACCGTACTGGCAAATACCCCGTCTACGAACTCTCCATCAAGCCCAGTTTCTTGCAAGCCACCAACCCTCGGCCACTCAGCTTGGAGCAAGTTAAAGTTGGCTCTTCATGGTTTGGTTTCATCAACAACATTGCGGACGACTCGCTCTGGATCAACCTGTCGCCGAACGTGCGCGGTAGAATGCGCTTGATGGATGCATCCGATGACCTGTCGCTTTTGGCAGACATCGACAAGTATTTCCCCATCGGGTCTGCTATTGAGGCTCACGTCACAGCTGTTGACACCGAAAAGGGACGTTTGGATCTCTCTGCCAGAAAGAGTTCCGACAAGCTCTCTCTTGACGATCTATCTGTGGGCATGGTTGTTCCAGGAAGAGTCACCAAGACTACCGAGAAGCAGGTTATCATGCAGCTCAGTGACACTGTGGTTGGAGCGGTCAACTTGGTTGATATGACCGATGACTACGAGAAGGCCAACCCGACCGTTTACCGCAAGAATGAGGTGCTCCGTGCATGTGTTGTCGGGGTTGACAAGGCTAACAAGAGGGTCTCTCTGTCTCTCCGGCCGTCGAGAGTTCTCAGTTCGTCGCTGCCGGTCCAGGACCGTGAACTCGCATCGATAAAGGAACTCAAAGTGAACGATGTTGTTCGTGGCTTCATCCGCAGAGTTGCAGACAACGGGTTGTTCGTGGCATTGAGCCACGACGTTACTGCTTACGTCCGTATCTCTGACCTATCTGACTCCTACCTCAAGGAGTGGAAGGAGGCTTTCCAGGTCGACCAACTTGTCAAGGGTCGTGTCACGCTCGTTGACCCCGAGCAGAACAAACTGCAAATTAGTCTGAAGGACTCCGCCCTGGATCCCAACTACAAGGCCCCTGTTACGCTTCGTGATCTTAAGCCTGGTCAGATTGTCACCGGCAAAGTCCGCAAGGTCGAAGAATTCGGTGCATTCATCGATGTCGACAACTCCGCCAGAATCAGCGGTCTTTGTCACCGCAGCGAGATGGCCGAAAAGCGGGTGGAGGATGCTCGGACTCTGTACGAGGAGGGTGATGTTGTGAAGGCTAAAATACTTAAGATCGACCGCGCGAAGGAGAAGGTCTCGTTCGGTCTGAAGGCTTCGTACTTCAAGGATGCTGAGGATGCCGAGAGCAGGGAAGAGGAAGAGGATGGCTCTGAGGATGGTGTGAGTCTCGATGGCTTCGGCGGCGCTGTGGAAGGAAGCGACGACGAAAGCGACGAGGACGAGGAAGATGATGTCTCGATGGGAGGTGTCGATCTTGAAGATGGCAGCGAGAGCTCTGACTCCGAGAAGAGCGAAGATGACGACGAAGAAATGGATGACGCCCCGTCGAAGAAGACAGGCGGTCTCGGAGACGGCGGCTTCGACTGGAGCGGCAACGTCAACGACGACGAAGACGAGGCAGCTGCATCCGACTCAGAAGGCGAAGACGACAGTTCCCGGAAAAAGAAGAAGTCCCGCAAGCCTGAAATCCAGGTTGACCGTACTGGCGACCTCGACGCAAATGGTCCGCAGTCCGTGGCCGACTACGAACGACTTCTGCTTGGTGAGCCTAACTCGTCGCTCTTGTGGCTGAGGTATATGGCTTTCCAGCTGGAGTTGGGTGAGATTGATAAGGCAAAGGAGATTGCCGAGCGGGCTCTTCGCACCATTACCATCGGACAGGACACCGAGAAACTGAACATCTGGGTGGCACTACTGAACTTGGAGAACACCTATGGTGACAATGATACCCTCGACGACGTTTTCAAGCGTGCTTGCCAGTACAACGATACCCAGGAGATTTACGAGCGGATGACTAGCATCTACATCCAGTCTGGAAAGATCGAGGTAAGATATCCCGTACATGCGGCCTTGCAAAGTATCAAATTCTAACAAAATTTCCCTACAGAAAGCGGAAGATCTCTTCCAAGTCGCTCTCAAGAAGAAGATTTCCCCGACACCAAAGTTTTTCGTCAACTACGCTTCCTTCCTCTTCGACTCCATGGCCGCCCCTGACCGTGGCCGTGCTCTTCTTCCCCGCGCTCTCCAGTCTCTTCCTCCCCACACCCACATCGAGACGACCTCCAAGTTCGGCCAACTTGAATTCCGCTCTCAGAACGGTGACATCGAACGTGGCCGTACCGTCTTCGAAGGTCTCCTGTCCTCGTTTCCCAAGAAGATCGACCTGTGGAACATCCTTTTGGATCTGGAGATCAAGAACGGCGATGCGGAACAGGTGAGACGCTTGTTTGAGCGTGTTCTTGGTATTCAGAAGGGCGCTGTTGCGGCTGGCACGGGCAAGAAGCTCCGGGCCAAGCAGGCGAAGTTCTTCTTCAAGAAATGGCTTGATTTCGAGGAGAAGGGTAGTAATGAGAAGATGGTTGAGGAGATTAAGGCTAAGGCTGCAGATTACGTTAAATCTTTGCAGCAAGAGTAAGGGTTGTATTGTGATTGTTTGATATAGCAAAAAGTCCTCTTTTAGTTTAGGATCTGGTGTTATGGGGTATTAGGTACATTGTATATAAAAAGCATCATAAATACTTTTCTTTCCTGCATAGAAATCAAGAGTTGCAAATGTACTCTTCTAAACATGCTCCCAACAACAAAGAAGAGAGAGAATAAAGAAAAGAAAAGAAAAGCACTATTGTCGTTTCTCGGCCATAAGTCGTCTATATTCCTCCACGATATTCTTTCTCTCATCGGCCAACTCTTCTCTTCGCCTTAAACTTCCCATAGCAGTCGGTACGTTGGCAACATTGACCTTAGCACCACCACGGACCTTGAAGATCTCTCTGGGTTTGGTCAACTGTGGCGGCGCCTGCGCGACATCCTGAGGGTTTGTTTGCCTGTTTATGCGCTCCGGGTTGTTCAATTTAGCCCAGGGATCTGCGCCATCATAGTCGTCGTCTGAATCATCATCACCGGTAGCGGCATTCCCATTCCCCTTATTCCCCTTATTCTTCTTCTTTTTCTTCTGTGCCTCAGCCTTCTTCTTCGCCTTGGTCTTCCCAGCCTCGGTCTCCCACTGCTTCCACAATTCAAGCTGGTCCTCCATTTCCGCTTCCCGTTCCTCGCGCTCTTCTTGTTCGCGCTCGCGGATCTTCACGTCATCCTCGCGCCATTGTGCCTGCAGCCGCCGCAGACGCTTGTCGTGCTTGGTCAGACGCTGTTCGCGGATTTTGGGATTGTCGCCTGCAGGGGTTTTCTCGGACCGCTTCATCAGGGATAATGGCATCTCACGATCAACTCGTGCAGAGAAGTCGGACAATTTCTCACCAGGGAGGATTTTCGGGCCCTGGGGTTCAGACTTTGCGGCGGCAGCGGTGGCATCCGTGGTAGTAGTAGTAGTAGTAGTAGTAGTAGTAGTAGTAGCAGCACCAGATTTCTTCTTTGGTATCGATTCTTCTTTTCTATCCTCTGTGCCCCTCTTTCTCTTCTTCTTGCCGCTCTCTGCGTCGTCTGTCTTGGTGCTGGCCGATTGTTGCTTCTGCTTCAGACGTTCTTGGAATTGCATCAAGTGACGGAATGCTCGCGGGGTATCATCTTGACCGGCCTTCTGCTTAGTTTCATATTTCCGTTTTAAATTTTCTTGTTCCTCCTTCTTCTTTCTTCCAGTAGCTTTGGATTTGGCGCTGAGGTCTCGGGCTGGGAGAGGTTTTGCGACCAGTGACGGGGGGAGGTCGTGGAGGCTGCGGGAGGTGGGATGCGTGTTAGTAAAAAGCATGCGCAGATATATGCTGGATTGGATTGTGGCTTACTACTTGTCATTTTGGCGTCTCTTGTGCTTGTGAGGCATTGTGGTGGTTGTGGTGTTGAGTGTTTAAGTGGTGGTCGTTGACGTCGGAAGTTTTTTTATTTTTTTTTCTGCGGTCGCAGATCTAATCGTATCTGATAAAGACAGGGATCTATAGTTCGTTTTTCAACATCGCTTTTATAGGGATGGAATAAAAAAGAAAGTATTCAATAAGAACGAGGAATGTAACTGGATTCAACTATCTTATCTTTTTTTTGCGCTGGTCTGAAATATGCCTGCTTCATATCTACAATATGCCGTAGAGACGAGTTGCTACAACCACTACTGAATAGCTTCTACTACTTCGTGGCCCAGTCACATATCCGTGTTCTAGATTTTCTAATCGCCAATATAAATCCTGCTTTTTTGCACGCGCTTGAACGCATTGGCCGTTCCTCTGTCATGTCCAGAAACGGAAATCCGCAAGTGATCCATGGGAGTTGACGAATCCTTTTTGCCTCTCCCACCACCCGAGATGAAGCATTTAGCAAGGGGATTGACTGGGGATCCTCTCTTCTTTTGCAGAGACTTGAAATAGAAGAATTGATTAGAAATTCCTGGCTCGACGACTTACTACGCCATCATTATCATTTATATCATGGCCCGGGATGTCTCGCCGTCATGCACTTTCCGACAGCCCCAGCAGCAGCTCATTGTCGCACGCGATGTTTTCCAATAATATCCGAGAAATAGACGATTTTCAGGATTGTGAGAACATTGCAGGGCTCGATTCGCCGGCATTCATGGCGGATTTGCCCGCGGGCGACGAAGCGAAGGGATCGGATTTGCGCTGGTCCGCTCGACAGTTAACTCCATGGATGAGAATTAGAAAAATCTTTGCGCTGTTTTCTTCACGAGACAAGAGCTCGAAATCTGACACTGATGATGCTCTTCCTCTGTTGTCGTCCTCTGAGTCCTCTGAGCGGTTGATTGAACGTCCGCGGAGACGAGTCGGGAAATTCAGAGTACTCCGCTGGTTTCTGTCCCTACTCGTGGGCATCTTCGTCATGCTGTGAGCTTTCCCCTGCCAGAATACATGCGAGCCTAGGCTAATACATAGGACGTAAACGTAGGGGAATCGTCCAATTCGTATCAATCCTCTTTGGCCTCGCCTACTCGTTCTTCCCCGACGAATTCGACCGCGCCGTCACCAACTGGCTAAAACCAGACCACAGCCTCAACACAGACGCACCCGGATCGCGTTACCCAACAGACATCTCGCGCAATATCATCCCCGTTGGTTGCCACTCTCACAATGACTACTGGCGCCGCGTCCCCCTCTTCTCGGCCCTAGAAGCAGGCTGCATCGGCGTCGAAGCAGACGTCTGGTTCATCGACCAAAACAACCACCAAGATCTTTACGTCGGCCACACATCCTCGTCACTCACTCCCGAGCGTACGCTGCGAAGCATGTACGTCGATCCCCTAGTGAAGATCCTCGACCGGCAGAATCCCATCACTGGTTTCCATGAGAGTGTCGATCAGCCGCGGAATGGGGTTTTTGATACGGACCCCGGGCAGACGCTTATTTTGCTTGTGGATTTCAAGACAGACGGGGCGCTTACGTGGCCGCTTTTGGTTGAGGGGTTGGAGCCTTTGAGGGAACGGGGGTATCTTGCTCATTTTAATGGGGAGGAGGTTGTTAATGGGCCTGTTACTGTTGTTGGGACGGGGAATGCACCATTTCATCTTGTGTGCGCGAATTCGACCTATCGAGATATTTTCTTCGATGCTCCGCTCGACCTTCTGGCTGAGGATGGCGCCACCACGGGCAGGAGAATGGCAAGGCAATCTGTCCAACACGGCAATAATCTTGGCCAGGGCCTCTCCGGTACACCATCCGACATCACGCCCGACACATTCAACTACACAAACAGTTTCTACGCTTCCACATCCTTCAAGGACACAATCGGGTTCCCACGACCATTCCACCTCACCGCGCAGCAGATGGACTCCATCCGGGCTCAGATTCGTGGTACGCACCGTCGCGGGCTGAAGGTGCGGTATTGGGGACTACCTAGTTGGCCTCGAGGCTTGAGGAATCATATCTGGAGGGTTCTAGTTCATGAGGGTGTGGATATTCTGAACGTTGATGATCTGCAGAGTGCTACAAAGAAGGAGTGGACGCCTAAAATGGGTGACTGGTGGTGATTGCTGGGTCTCGTTGCTTAGATTTGGCTGTACAAATTTGCTAGCTTTTTGTAAATAGATGGTAAAGATATGATAATAATGCATTGCTCAATAGAGTCTGATGCTATGTTGAAACGACATGGGTATGATGAGTTCCGTCACTCGTAGCTAGTTCCATCTCCATCCGGGAGAATGGTTAAAAAGAATATTAGAAAAGACAAGAAAGAAGAAAATCCTAGCCCATCAATCATAAGCAAATCAACGCCTCTTCCCCAAACTCCCTAACCACACTACCCTCCTCCCGCAGGAGGTCACCAAGCCAGGTTTTAGCAGCTTCAAAGTCAGGCGCCCCAAACTTCACCAGCGTGAATCCTGCCCTCACGCGGGCCGCCGTCCAGGTGGCATTCGTGTTGGTAGTATTCGAATACGACTCTGTGGCACTCTTGGCTGGCGACACAGACGTTGACCAATTGCGAGCACCGATCCGTGGCTGCGTTGTAAACCGGTGTAAAATGAATGACGCTAGTTTTTCATAGACGGGGCCGTACAGGATCAGCGTCCCCACGATACCATGGGGATGTGTGCGTTCCCGAATCATATTGGGATGGCTATTGTCGGCATCTCGCTCAGCATCGTCGCACTCGTCGTCCAGGATGATCGAGTCCCGTAGCAGCAATTTTTTCGACCCAGACCCATCATCTGACCATACTTCATTTTTCCCTTTCCAGAAATGGAAATCCCATGTCTCGCCTCTTGAGCTGCGGCCCTCCGTCACCCAATCTAGGACGCACAGACTGCCTCTCTTGCTATCTGGGGCCGTCCCGTCTACGGTGAAAGTCTGGGCCTGCTCGTAGCGACTGTCTTTGTAAGGTACCGCAGGATCGGGTAGGTAGCAAATCGCAGCTTCATTGTCAATACGGACATCTAGCATCTGTCGGCTCATGTCTGTTGCTATGTGTGCTGGAGTCCCCCGTTGCCCCTTGACACTTGCCGTGGGCTCTGTCTTGAAGATCTTGGTGCTTCCTTGAGGTGTGCTGACAACCATTCTTGTCCGCTCCTTCAATGTTATCGACACATCGATGTGGTCCCCCGGGAGTAATCCGCCACCGTATGTGAGAAGGTATAGATGAACCGGTCGAGAAGGGCATGTTTGCGCCGAGGTTCGAGGCACGAAGCCCGGTGTGCGGGCAAGCAATTTGAGAGGGTATTTGTAGGTTAAGGTGGTCAAAGTCGGTATCGACGGAGGAAGAAGGTCCAGAATGACCTCTCCATGTCCAGCCTTAGCAACATCTGTCTCGAAGGGTGATTTTATCGGCATACTGGGCGGTAAATCAGTTCGGTACTTGTTCGCAGGTAATTGTGATCGTATTTGCACAATTCGAAGAAAAAGGATTAGGGAAAGAAAGAATTGGGCCGTGGCTAATATATAGTTCGTTCTGCAGCAACATAACGCTCAATATTGAGGATCAACCGAAATTGCAGTTATAAAAAGACGTCATGAGCGCCACTTTTTTTGCTCTTGCACCACTGACCGAACAACGCACTTCTACAGCGCACAAACTCAGCAGACGGTGAATGAGTGGTCCAGAATGCGTCAAATAAATAGATCTTGACCTGCTCCAAGCGGGGATGTGACTGTGGCCGTGAAACACCTTAGAGACTTGGCTGTGAGTCTTGATCTTTTCCATGCCGTAATGGGAAACATGGTTTTGCTGCATCGGCGTGGGGTTTTCCCGATTCCGGAAGGTCATCTCCGCATACTATTTAGGTCCGGTCTTGGCAGAGAGGCCTTGGCAAAAGTCAGATGATCAGTCTTCGTTACACTAGTATTGTACGATAGTACAAAGTAAATTTACAGTCCCGTGATCTTCTGCCTAATCGCGCCTCAGGCATCAGATGTGTCCCAGCGGAGCACCGCTCCAAGCAAGCATCTCCCCTCTTCGAAGAGTCCCGCCTTGACGCCGCTGTCAGAGTCATTTGTTGACGCTCGGGTTAGTCATTGACTCTAACTATTGTCGAGGGCCTTTCACCTGACTGCTGCTCTTTTCAATTACCGCTCGATCCACAAAACGCGCGCGCACAGTAGAGCCTTGAGTCGGTTCTCTGCGTCGCGTTGTTTGCATTGAAGGGAAAGACAAGGTACTCGAACACATGATACAATCTACTGACAATGATGTTAAATACTGACAGATGGCTTCTACTAGTGATCTATGTACCTCTAGGATTAAACAGCACAACAGACTCGCGATCTTAGAAAATGGAGAATGAATCGCGTCCCTCCAGTTCCCAAGCGGACATGACCCAAGATCCCACTCCCACGCGAGCAACAGACAGAAGAAAGTCCGGTCGAGCGACGCGAAAGCCAGAGTTACTCTCCCAAAGTTACACCGACGGAACCGGATCTAAGCGCAAGCGTGATGCTGCCAGGGAAGATGACGAGGATGCCGGCGAAGAGGAAGACCAGGGGCTAGACGACGCGTCAGAGTCCGAAAGCAACGAGGAAGATGCAGACGAGGAGGAGCTCCGTGAAAAGAAACGCGCCGCGCGCAAGAAAGCGTCGACTACGCCGAAGACGAAAGCAAAACCTCGGACAACGAAGAAGGTCAAGGTAGCTGGTAATGGAATTGGTGGCCAGTTGGCATTGCGCCCGGCTGCTGCCAACGGGAAACGGACATTGTCTCGTCCCAGGAAGCCGAAGGTGCGACCAAGTCTGGCTGCTGGTGAGCGCGGTTTATACGGTATGCTGCTTTGTGTTGTGTGGGTTGTATTTCTACTAACTCTCTATCAGCGGAAGTCTTTGGTAAAGGAAACTCGTCCGATACGGTCGCCGCGAATTGGCTCTCCCGCTACCAACGCGACCAGTCGACTTCTATGCGCGATATGGTCAACTTCATGCTTAGGTGCACCGGAACCGACTTGGAGATCGACACATCCGAGGTCGAAGATGTTGACAATGCACCAACGCGCATTGATGATTTGCAGACTCAATACCATCAACTTGGAATCTCGGAATATCCTCTTATCTCGAAGGCTAAAAAATTCAGGGCATTCCAGCCAGTGTTGGAAGAGTTTTTCGCCGCTCTGGTCCAGACATTGCACCACTCGTCGGTTCTATATAGCGACGAGAACCTGTTCGAGAACATTCAAATTTGGATTTCCGCCCTGTCCACGTCGTCATGCCGGCCTTTTAGGCACACATCGACCGTTATTTCACTCGCAATCATGAACACCTTGTGCGATGTTGCCCGCGAGATAATGACCAGCGTTTCAACTTCGCGCAAACAAGTCGAGAGTGAAAAGAAGAAGAAGTCAATGAATCAGGGACGGGTTGCTGCCATCCAGACGTCCGTCGAAGAGGGCGAGAAGAAACTTGAGATGGTTGACGAGTTCCTTAAGGACGGTGTTAACATTGTCTTCGTCCATCGTTACCGGGACATCGATCCACGCATCCGTTGCGAATGCATGTCAGCCCTGGGACAGTGGATACGAAATTACAGAGAATACTTCTTTGAGGGTCAATTCCTTCGATATTTGGGCTGGATCTTATCCGACCCAGTGGCCCAGACGCGTGCCGTGGTTGTCGAGCAGTTGCGGACTCTTTACGAGAATAAAGACAACATTGCTGGTCTGCGTTCGTTTACAGAACGTTTCCGCCAGCGTATGGTGGAGATGGCGGCGCAGGATGCGGATGTCGTGGTGCGCGCATCAGCAGTGGAACTGCTTGATCTCATCCGGGATGCCGGGCTGATTGAACCTAGTGATGTTGATGTCGTGGGCAGACTCGTGTTTGACGCAGAACCCCGAGTTCGGAAGGCAGCTGGTCGTTTCTTTGTCGCGAATGTCCATGATGTGTTCGATTCCACCACTGAAGAGCTTGGTGACGAGATTAATGAGTTATTTGGTGATGAGGATGAAGATGATTTTGCATCTCCGAAACGCTCATGGATCAAGTTCAAGTGCTTGGTCGATATGCTTCAAAGCTACGATAGCCAGGAGAACGACCAGAAGCCGGATCGGCCTGTAGTAACATCACGAGACGCATTATCAGGTACCTCGATAGATTCGCGCTTTGTGCTCGCAACCGAAGCTATTTATCCTCACCTAGAAGAACTGGCCCAGTGGCAGTCTTTGGCCGGTTACCTTCTCTATGACCACTCGCAGATCGCAGAGGAAACGGACGATGACGCTACCGGCATGGTACGAAGCCTGTACAAGATGGAGGAGGGACAAGAGGTGATTCTATTGGAGGTTCTATGCTGCGCGGTCAAGCTCCGGGTCGTTGACGTCTCCAAGTCTGATGTCGACAAGAGAGGACGGAAGGTCAAGGCACTGGCTGAGAAGATACCCGAGTTGCAAGAGGAGATTGCACACAGCCTTGCGCAGATCATTCCGCAGCTTCTGAACAAATTCGGTTCAGTGCCAGAGGCCGCTTCCGCTGTTTTGCGACTAGAGCACCTCGTGGATCTCGACAAGATCCAGGACCTACAAAAGGACGCTACTGCCTACACCGCTTTACTGAATGACATCAACAAGCAGTTCCTCACGCATTCAGACCAAGATGTCCTGACCGAAGCCAGCGTTGCGTTCTTACATGCCAAGAGCTCCGATGACATGAAGGAAGCGCTGGAAAGCAAGGTTCAGGAGCTGTGGGACGATATTATTGATGCACTTAATACCCTATCCCAGAACGAGGAAATCCAAGATGAGAGTTCTCTTCCATCTGGTACCCTCACTGAACTCATCAACACAGTCACCAGAGTTTCGAATCTTGCCAGCGTAACTGATTGCACACAAATACTGGAAACAGCACCATCTTCTCGTTCTAAGGGCAAGAAGAAGAAATTTGCCCTTGAGGCACCTTTCAATACTCTCATCCACCTTGCTAAGCGTGGTCTCCGCAGAGAAGAAGAGGACGAGGACGCTGCAAAGGCTGAAACTGAGTTGGTGATCAACAGTATCCGCACCCTGCTGTTCTTCTTCATGTGGAAGGTGCAGTCATTAGCAACCGCCCTGAACGCCGGAAAAGTATCATTCACAACAGCCTACTTCGAAGCCCTAGCAAAGAGCCGCGAAGTATTCGCCGAAACCCTCGTCACCATCATGCAGAAACGCACTAGCACTAGCCCAGACGACATCCGCTTCGCAGCAACCACAACCCTCCTTGACCTCCAAACCCTCTTCGGCACTCTCCGCCACGCCGGCCAAACCGCCGAAAACGACGAAGACACGCTCACCCAAACCCAAGGCCTCGTCCACGAAATCAACACGGACACCCGGAAACTTATCGCCAAGATCCACGGGATAGCAGAACGCACCTACGCCAAGAAAATCCGCAAACCCCTCGAACCCGCTGAAGATGACCTACCGACCTCAGACGAAGACGTCGAAAAAGAGCCTTCCGACGACGAGGAGAATGAATCCAACGCTGATGAAGATGAGGAATCGGCGGACAGCGAGCGTCTGCGGTCGACTATCTTGGCTGAACAGCGTCTGTGCGAGTTGACCGGCAAGATCGTTCTGGCGATTATTGCTCGTGTTATTGATGCTTCGGGACCGCAGCAGGGACAATTGAAGAAGAAATTGGTGCAGCATAAGTCCAGGCTGGGTCCCAATTATCGTGAAGTCCTGTCGTTCCTCGGCGAGCGTAAGCCGAGGGGTGGTGCTGGGTCTCGGAGTGCGAAGGGTAAGAAGACTGCCGGAGCCAAGAACGCGGACGCCGGTTCGAACGAGCAGGAATCCACTGAGCGGATAGAAGACGATGAGGAAGATGAGCAAAACGGTGCTGCTGGACATAATGAGGTGGAAGAAGATGAGGACGAGGATCTGCGGGCGAGGGAGCTCGTTGAGGATGAAAATGCAGACCAAGAAAATGGTGACGAGGATGACGACAATACCGCTGCTCCTGATCCGGATGAGGATGAGGTTATGGGTGATTGATTGTGATGGAGTTAGAGTAAGACAGAATATTTGATGCCTTTCTCATTTATGGGCGGTCTTTTTTTTTTTTCGATCAAAACATCCTCTTCCCCAACTGGACTGTAAGCTACCCTGGCTCAGTGTCACAGACGAGTTCTTTGCTAACAGTATCTCTTTACATAGAATAGCTGTCCTTGATGACTTATGTTTTCACTTTTCTTCTACTCGTCGCTCTTCAATGGTACATTTCGGTTTATTTTGTTTTATGTCTTTCTCTTATCCCTGTTCTTAATCTTTCACGGGCGTTAGTTTGCGTCGTTTGTGTATGGATATTGTAGGCTGATTCCCTGTATATATCCATGGACTTGCTTCAATTCGAACATGACTTGCTTCTCACTACTC